ATACCCCCACACTCTCACTATTCACCAACTATCATCAACAGTAACATCATCAAATCCACCAACACCTACACCACATTCAGGCTATACCCCATCATTAGCTCAATCATCCACATCAACAGAAACTTCCACTAGCACTAACCGAGCTTATCGAACTTTTAAAAGAAAGTTTCCAAATCATCCATTCCCATCCAAACCCGGAACCGCCAGAGAATATATTAACCACCCAGAACACACCAATACAGCAAAATATCTTCAAGTAACCCTACCCTTATTTCCACAATACACCTTTAATAGTTCCAACACTAACACAAAATTTCGTTGATGAGCACGTTTTAATACCCACCCTTCAATGGACCGCCTATTATAACTATACTAACTCTCTTTCTCTACCACTCCATAACACCACATTAGACATTGAAAGAAACAAAAACAAACTGTATAGACTAACCACTTCACTAATACCCCGACAATTTACGTATGTAGGATATAAGAAATTATTAAAAACGTTCACCGCACCCCGAGCTAACGTTTACTCAATTGAAAATTACGATCATAACATCATTCGACCTAACCAAGATCAATTCTTAGACGAAGACCGTTTTACAAACCCACAACTAACAGAAAAGATTTTCATCAAACCCCCTATATATTCACACTTAATATTTTTGATAAAAAGCATGATCACATTATTTCAGAAGCACTAGTCGACATACAGGCATTTGAAACTTTTTATGATAAATTTCAGTTATTTTCACTAACCTTTCATTTTCATTCACCACAAGAACATGATTTGCACTGTTCCCACGATATCATGTTGCGAACTAAACAAACGCACTCCTACACATATTACCGATTTATACAAAATCACTTTGATCTACACACACCATCACGACAACCCCACCATCGTTTTCAGTTTATTAACTCTAAATATACATCACCATTTTTTCTCAACTTTACATACTGCATTAAAAATACTAACCTCTAAGGCATCCTCCGCAACTATGACCCAGTCACACAAATGTATATATTCTGTCCCCTCACTAAGACCTTCAACGATGAAGAATCCCGACCCTTCTTAATCCCGCATGAATTCATCCAACCTATCGAAATACCTATATTAGAATTCATTCATAATACTAAATACAATCATAAACTTTATAATCTAATCCAGAACACACCTCATGAATTTGCATTAGGCACCGAAGAACTAAACACCATCAAAGCACTTCAATTGCTTTGGCCACTGCTACAAACTAAAAATGTCATACGCATACTAGCCAAATTACTAACAACATCAGACATGATTCACGACATCTTTCCACACGGTTTTTCCCAGATGATTATGTAAATATAATTCAAAATATTTATAACTAACTAATTCAAAATAGTACTAACCATTTGTTATCAATGTTTAATTTATTCTTTTAGTCTTCATACCACAATCAACTTTAAAAAAGAAAATTCAAAACAAAAAATAGAAACTCGTTGATTTACAATATTTTTCTTAAAACCTTTAGCACTAAAGGATGTAGTACAATTCATAACCAAAGTAGTAAATTAATCTATAAATTATCTCCCCCGAAGTAGTAAAATAAAATACGATGAAAATTTATAAATTAAAGTTTCCCAAAAAGCAGTAAATTTCAATTTCCAAGCAATAAATTTATAGTAAAGATAAAGCAGTACTAACCTTTTCTATCTTTTCATTCACTCGCGCAAAAACTCTATCCCAACTCGCACAGCTTGCCCACGAAGAATTGTTCAAAATAAAGATTTCAAGTTTTAAGTTTTCACTAACAACAACTCAAACAAGCAATAACAAGTTTCCAACTTTTCTTTAACCCGGTTGGAAAGGAATAATATACTAAACCAAACTAATCAACGCAGCTCACTAAACACCATAAATCAAAAAATAACAGCATGACTAAGAAAAGAAAACCCACGGTACCCAAACCGGATTAAACTAGCTTAAAACTGGATAATTTATTCTTTTAAAGACTATTAAAAAGTCTAAGAATGAAATATAAAACACAAAAAAATCGCAAGACAAACCCAAACCAAAAACAATTTGATTTTTGAAAAAAGGGCACAACCAAAGAAACATAAGGAAAAACAAGAAAAGCACAAACATAAATGTTAACACAAAGCAGGACCTCTCAAAGAAACAGCATGAAATCATACTCCCACTCCTGGCCTAACCCACCAGAGAGGACGTCCTGAGCATGATCCTTAGCCGGCCTAATCCACCGTGCTATACCAACGCTTTGTGACCACATCACAATTTTTAATAAGAGGTTCTCAAGGGGTAGCAAATCTTCAAAATAACTGAACTAAAATAAAATGCTTTTGCGAAAACAATTAATCAAGATCATAACTAAAAAACAAATTTAACCAAATTTTATAAAATGTAAATCATAATATGCAAAATAAAGATCAGTCACAACTACCAAGACGAAAATCCAGAGACTAGATAATCCCATCACACTCGACCTATAGAATGGCCAAAATCAATCGACATGCCAATCACAATCACAATTCTAAGGATTTAAAGTAAAACTTGACTTCGCAGAAAAGGACTTCATTGAACCAGACCAATGACCACCTCGATGCTCAAGTATACGTACAGATCCGAGTTACAAGGCATTCCCTCCAGCCCTCCAGACACGATCTTCAAGCCATTCCCAGACGAGAGTAAACACAGACAGTTCTCTACCAAGACAGAACAACCTGACATAGCAAACCATTTTGATATCGGATTGATTTCATTGGGGATCACAGTCGTTGTCGAACGACAAGCTAACAATTTCATGTCCATAATTCCAGCGTCCTGGAACGTTCTTCTTCAGAAAGAACCAGGTAAGGAAATGATGTTCGCCAAATACCAACGATCATCATCCATCCTTCAATTGCAGAAGAAAAAAGATAAAAACTAAAAATTTTGTAAACCCCGGATGGGTGGAACCGAATCTAAACTACATTTTATTATTGGATATTCTTAGATATTTTATCACGATAAAATATTTAATATTAACCAATCATGATCCATCAACTAACAACCCACTTATTTGTAAGTGCTGAAATTACTTGTAATTTCAGCACCAGAGAGATTTGAATTTAACTTAGAAATTAGTTACCTCTCCAAGAGAGCTTCAGCAATCGCAATAAGCCAGTATACTCTAGATCTTTTGAGCCTAGCAGAGACTAGTTAAACACCCTGAGACTAGTATATATAAGAGTAAGATTAGGATCGGTATTAGACTAAGAAGTTGCACGAATCTATCCGGCCGAAAATAAGATAGCGTGACGAGCAGACGATGTACCCTATCCGAAATTACTATATGAGTTACAGACAAAGGATCTAACTCAGTATAGCAGAAATTGTTGAAAATTTAACAATAATTTTGCAACAAAATAGAAAGTATTTTCCATTAAATTCAATTGAAATAGATTTCAAATGAATTACCGGGTCGACAAAAATTGCTCAAGAATGGTTTTTATTTCGAATCCGAATTCCAAATCCATTAAAATGGTTTTTATTGGATTGAGTTCTTACGGATACAATCGATCATAATGACAATACAATCGATTTCTTCGTCTAATTTTACAACAATGATGAAATAATGACAACCACTTAGACAACGATTGCGGGTTTGTTATTTTAAGCAATTAAATAAAATTGTTAATTTTGTTATAGAATTCGATAATTAAATTAATGGCTAAAATTAAACGCTCTACGGAATATGAAAACTTGCAATGATTAACTGAATTTTTTACGTTTTATTCAAAGCGCCACACTAAGAAGGTTCGTATCATAATAAGCTGTATTTTACTTTCTTTATCGGCAAGGTAATAGAAGGCAGCGAGTTAAAGACAAGTTACTAAAGTTGATCTCAGGGTTCAAAAAATAGATTGATTGGAAAAGAACCAATTAGTCGAGCGGTAAAGTACAAATACAGCATTTGTTTAGAGGTGAGTCTCCAAAACGAACGATGGATGCATGGAAAAACCGCAGCAGTCAAACCACTATGCATCTCAAGGTCAGAATAAGGGAACATGAATTGATCCCGAAAACAATGGAAGAAAAATCAGATTGGTAGAAAAGTTCTTACAAACTACGAAAGTTTTTGGTCGGAAAAATTTTCATTGGAAACTCATTGGAAAATTTCAGCATTCTGACAGGTTATTTTCTGTACGATTGTTTGACGTCGTGGGTATAGCAGAAATTGTTGAAAATTTCACAGATAATTTTGCAAGAAAGTAGAGATTATAATCCATTATATTCAACTGAAATGGATTTTAAATGAATTACCGGGTCGACAAAAATTGCTCATTTTTTGTGAAAACTTCAAAGTCATTGCATTATAGTCAAAAATTTTAAACAAATAAAAAATTAAATTGTTAAAAATTGGGGTTAACTTTGGGGAGAGGATGGAAAAAAATAAACTAGACGAAGGGACTAAAAAGTACGGAGAAACTCAAAAATTTTTGTCGAAAACATGATATCGCGATTCATTTGCGAATTTTGATTCTATTGTTTAGAAAATGAGTCTGGACTATGTTTTAGACAAAACGCTACATTTTGATACAAAATATTCTAACCATATAACTCTCATATATGACAGTACAATTTCGCTATGGAGGTTTGCTACTCATACATTTTACTCGTATGAGATTTGTGTGACTACTATTTTTTATTACTGGCGCTAAGCGAGCGTAGGTTAATAGTACGAATAATTGTTTTTTTTTCGACCAAAGTCGCATTATTAGTGCTTTTTTGTGGCATCTTGACGGTTCTTTATTAGCATGAGCTCTGACATTGTATTACTATCAAATCAACGCAGCTGAAACAAATTTAATTCATCAAATGAACAGAAAAAAGCTATTTGTTTCAAACAGCAGTATAAAAATTCTGCGCTTTAGGTATTTTCCAACGCAGTGTGTTTCGCATCATTTTTGATATCCGAAAACCTAACATAGATAGAAATTGAAACTTTTCAAACCTATTACAGTAACAAACTCGGGTTTGTTGGTGGCCTCCCGAATGACAGTGTCTATTGTCTTGCACAGTCCTTGTTCATTTCTGCCCGTGACACAGAATTTTCTTACTCCTTTCTGAGCCAGACGCTGAACTGTGGCTGCCCCGATGCCAGAACTAGCGCCAGTAACTATCACAACTTCACTGCCAGTAAATAAAGACAAGGATTCGGCCATTGTTTCGAAACTTTGAACTCTTCAGAGAGATAAGCAGCAAAAATTTGAAACCTATAAATCAGAGCTTAAAATGAAATCAAATAAAATTCTGCGGGGAGTTTGTTATCTTACTTGTACTTTCAGCTGATGAACGAATGGCTACGTATAAAATTTTGCATGTTATTTGGTCAGTTCAATTATTATCTGTAAAAGAATGAAACACACCCTTTCAACCAACGTTTGGGCAGCAGAATCTGAGCTTCCAATAATGTTACCAATGCATCTTATGCGTATCAGTTTTAATTGTGAGCTCAAGATTGCTAAGAAATGTCAATAATTTCTTTCAACTTTCTTTCAATCATCTTGTTTGCTTGAATAAGCCTGAAATATGCAAAAATGGCCTAACTTGATTTGATCCGAGTTTGAAATTTCCTGAAGTATGCAAAATTGACCTACCTCGATTTGATCCGAGTTTGAAATATTTCAAAATCGATTCTACAAAATTTTTGTTCGGTGTTACAGTTTTAAAAGAAAGGTAAAAAAGTGAAAACGCTTATCTGATAGATATTCATGTTAAAATTGTTTTTCGCGTCAAAACTCATGGTTAATGCAATTTTTCAGATTTGTCAGATATGCGCTGAATAAACATCAGTTTGCATCTTTTTACCCCTGCAATTAGTGAGGGTGCATCATCTGAGTGCTAGATTTTTTCTCGGAAAAAAACTTGTTCAAAGGAAGGTCAGGTTCAGCAGTGGAGAATTTTACTGCGCAATGCTCAATATCCTCAAATTTTAAATAAAATTACTATCAGTTAAGTAGCAATTAGGTTAAGTTTGTTCAATAGGTCAACAATTTTACTTTCTTTTTCAGATAAAATTGTTAGGTCAAACTTATTTTCTTTTTTAGATAAACTTGTTGGAGATTAGTTGATTTTGTTTGGATACATGGTTTTGGTCCACGTTTCTATCCGTTAAATTCCATTTTTTTACTAAAACAATTATTTTATCTTGCAAAATTTTTTATTTGTTTACTTTCTAGAGCATCCATTTTTTCAATAGATCTGGTTTTAGCAGTTTCTGTTAATGTTATAACGGCTCGTTTAAAGTGTATTGCGTAAATTTGAGGACAAAACATATTTTTAATGGATATCGCTTTCAGTACGGATGGATTGTACAGTCAATTTATTTCCAAATTTAATTCTATCGACAATTTATTTTAACATCGATAAAAACTTCAACCAAAATCTCTCTTTAGTTGCCGCTTTGGGGTCATCCGAATGTTTTTAAGACTGTTTAAAAACATCAAACGATGCAAAATTTTTTCTTTTCGAATTTATAAAAGGCGTGGCGAGACGGAAGACTTAACTTGGTTCGCGTTTTGCCGGTTTCTGGCGAAGTAACCATATGTTAGAAAAGTGTAGCAGCCGCATGTGTCACATGTTCTTCGCCTGGTCATTCGGCTTGTAGATATGGGATGATCGCTCGCGTAAGTTTTATCGGGATACGTGATTGCGCCTCGCTAGAATGCCCACGGTTTAGGGAAAACTGCAGAGAGGATTGGGGCACTATGATACTGTTTAGAATGGTTAGTGGAGAAAACTTCTGAGGCAAGAATTGCATATCCTTTCTTCGTTGTATGTCAGTACAATTTGGTGATAATAAACTTTTGCATTTTTGAGCTAATGTGGTGTCGGTGTTTTTAGTTTATGTATTGTTATATGATTTCTAATGTTTTTCCACTTTTTTCTAATAATGGTCGACGAACGTACTTAGGACTCTTATATATGAATTGATTGTTTCGTAGTTTATTGGCAAACTCCACTATCAAACATCAAAACTTTAAGGACGGAGTAGTCTGTGTTTATATCAAAAATGAAATAAAGACATAGATATGTCACCAGCAAGAACGCAAAGTACTATGAAATCAACAGGATTTATTTTGTTTATGAAAAGTTGGTTTTAGCAGTTCTCTTTTGTCTACCTATGGTCTAAAACGCTTACATAATTGATGATTGCACGATAAATCCCTGGTTGAGGAAAATCAATAGATATGAAAACAGAATATCTTTTTTGGAAAATATTCAACTTTTTCAATCTTACACGTTGATATGCATGTAAGGATTCTAAAATTAACAAGAAAAATAAACCAACAAGGAACAGCTATACATCCTATAGAGCATTAAAATCACCAGGAAATCTTTGAACCTGCATTTTAGACAGATCAATTTTTGTAAAGCAGAACGCTTTGAAGTCCAAAAAACGATCAAATGTAGAACTAGCCATAATGATTTTGAGTTGGAAGTTACCGTGAGTCGGAGAATGAGGCAGGAAGTTGGTAGCATAAATCTTCCAAAACTCAAGGCCCAAAAACAACTCAAGATGAACTTTAGTCACAAAAAATTAGGTAATAACTAAAAGAATAAGAATACTAAAAAGATTTTTGAAGACTGAAAAGACCGAAATAATAATTTAAAAAATGTGTGTTTTTTTTTTACAATTTAGACATGTTGCTTTTGAGCGCCGTCTGATAAAAAGTATCTGAAAAGGACGTAGATTTTAGAAAAAAATATGGCAATCACGGTAAACTAAGTAAATGCGGCGTTGGTTTTAGTCAAAACACGACAAAATAAATCAAAAAGGAACTTTTCTAAATTTTGAAGAAAAAAAAATTTCTTGGATAATTTTTATCCTAAACATGGTTCACACTTTTTCCGATTTCTGGCGAAGTTACATGTGTTAGAGAAATTCAGCAGTCGCATTTCTTAAATATCCTTTGCTTGGTCATTCAGCTTGCACTTGATAGGGCACGATCGCTTACGTAAGTGTTATCGGGAGACATGCTTGCGCCTCGCTAGAATGCCCACGGTTTGGGAAAACCGCAGAAGTTTGGGGTGTTACTATGATACTGATTGGAATGGTTGTTGGAGAAAAACTCTGAAGCAAACATTGTTTCGTAGCTTTTGTTTCGTTTTGAATTTTTTTTTCGTAGCTGGTGAGTGCAACTTGTGGTTACAGCTCGTTTTCTAAGTTTTCTTGTTAATACTCGATGAAAGTACTGAGGATTTTTTTGTAGGTCATATTGAATTTTTTAAGGAAGTCCTAAAATTTTTCCACGCTCCATTTATTTTTTAGGCAAACTCCACCATCAACCATCAAAAATGTAAGCATAGAGTAGTCTGTTTATACCAAAAATGAATTGAAGGCATCAATAATTCACCATGGAGAACGCAAGCATTAAGAAATCAACTGGATTTCTTTTGTTCATAAAAATTTGATTTTTAAAGTTCTGTTTTATCTACTTTTGCTTGAAAATGTTTAAAAAACTGATGATCACATTATCAATTTCATAGTTGAGGCAAATAAATTTAATAGGAGAACAAAACTTTTAACCTGAAGTTATTTCAACTACCTCAATCTGACACGTTAATCTGCATGCGGTGATTTTAAATTTTTAAAAAAAATGAAACAAAAAGGAACAACTCAACATCTTTTAGAGTACTAACAACACCAGGACTGTATGCTTGGAGAACTTTGAACCTTCAGTTTAACCAAATCATTGGGGTTACTTCTATCTAAAACTCTCTTTTGTACAACAGAATGCATAAAAGACCTTTTTCGAGATCACAGACAAAAAAAACAGTTAAATGTAAAATAAGACAACATCGTTTTGAGTTTGAAAAATCCGTGAGTCAGAGGCGAGTCTCCTAGATTTGATGACATATAAACAACTCGAGATGAAACTTAGAATTATATTAAATAATCAAGAGCAAACCAATAACAATTTTGAAGCTTGGAAAGACTGAAACTTTAAAAACAATTTATTTCTTTCGGTTTTTTACAATTTTTTCTTAAATTCAAGTATGTCGTGTAATAACAAGATCTGAAAAAAAAACTTTAAAAAAGAAATATTTGACAATCAAAATTTGGGCAATAGTTTCCGTCAAAACACGAGAAAAAAAATAAATTAATTTTTGTTTTCATTTTCTTTTGCAGATTTTTCTTAAATCTTTTTTATTTCCAAGAGTTTGTATTTGATATAATAATATCTTATGTTCATTAATTATTAATAACAGTGGGCACCGGTTAAACAATTTTGTTAAACATATGAGCCCAGGGCTGTGCCAGCATGAACGTGCACTGTTGGTTATGTTTGATTTTTTACTAATTGAAACCGATAAGCATTTTGTGTGAATTAGTCACATGCACGGACAAAATTAGGCGCAATTTCAGGATTTTACTTTGTAAAATGCCAGTTGTGAATGCCCACTTTGAAGAAACTTTCCTTCGAAATTCAGTTAAGTTTTGACATAGACCAAGAAAAAATGATCAGTGCTACAAATTATTGGTTTCTTTGATTTACCAAATTTTTCCGGGTCTGAAACGGCCAGTTTGTCTCGTCTGTGTTAAATTTTAAACTTCACGTGAAAAAAAAAAAAGAAACGTCCGAATTTAGTTAACGTTTCACCTTGATTAATTCAGTTTTCTAGCTGAGAAGGTTCCACGTCACATGAACGATTTTTTCACTAAACTTAGTCAAAAATGAATTCACTATGATGCAAACCTTGTGCAGATGAGAAAAACCCAGATTACATTGGTAAATTTTCAGACCCAGATTATATTGGTAAGTTATTGAAGCGAGTTATTGCTAGATTCATGAGGCGTAGCTCGTATCAGTTTTACTTGGTCTGTGTAAAAATTTATTGAAGCTCGAATGAAATGTTGTCCAAAACGGACATTGAAAACTGACATTTTAGAGAGCTTAAATTTGCGCTTAATTTTGTCCACAAACGTAGTTGTTCTGTTGATGTGACTAACCACACAAAATCATTATCTGACATACTAAGTAAGACAATCAAACATAGCCAACAGAGAGTGGGAAAAGAGTCAATGAACGCAAATAAGCATAAAAAAAATTACTGACAATTTTAAACGAAAATCTCAATTTTCGTAGTTTGAAAGACAGATGGCCCGAGATTTTTCTGAAATTCTAGAATAAATTATGATTGAAACTGGATCATTAGGTAAACTTTCTATTTCACTGAAAAAACTCAAAACTTTTAAAACAAGAAGTCGAAACTAGAGTTTCTGACGTTTTTAAGCTCGTTTCAATAGGTTATTACACAAACAAAATGCCGCGCTCCCTCCCTAAAATTTTATGTTAATGGGGCCTTTAGAAAATTTTTTAGGGCTGATCGTTCAAAAATGAATTTTGTGAAACAGTATAAAAAAGGACCCTTTGGAAAACCTTGTCTTATGTGTTTCAAAATTGAGGGAGCTCCCATCGGCATTCTACTGGTCTCAGCTATAAATATTTGCACCACAACTCTAAAAAAATTATTATTGGTTAAAATTTTCAAAACAGCTACATGGTATTGGTAAATCATTTTTTGTTCCCACAAAATCCGACCGGGAAATCGAAATGTACATTTTTTTGACCATATAGAAACAGTTAAAAGACTATCTGATCATTAAACTAACCTGTATTATATCTCACTCTATGTTCCAGCAGTTCACAAAAATCTAACAGTGTACGGTTTACCATGAGCAATAGTTTACAGATTTAATTTATTATACAGCGGCATTTTCTTATTTGTATGTATACAAGTGCTTTCTTTTCAAGTTGCGCTTCGAACCGCAAGAGTTTTGTAATTGTTATAACGAGCTGCGTCTGCTCAGCTCGTCATAATAATTACAAAGATTTTGTGTGCGGTTTGATGTGCAACTTGAAAGAAAATCGAATATGTTCATAAACTTTTTCACATGTTTGTAACTGAAGATCTAACACTATCAAGTGTTTTCGTCGAAGACTCTATTCGCTCTATGAAAACTTTAACTGTATTTTTCCAGTAACAGCAATGCAAAAATTGTATCCACAAATGAAACTGCCGTCAAGCTCTCGTAAGCAGTGATGGAGGTTATGATTTCATCAAGATGACGCAATTGAAAGCTAAGCATGAGCATTTCCTGAACATCTGATCACGAAAAGAAAACTTTCAAATTGATGGATCTCTGTTTTCTGGTAGCCTTTGAGTCATTTGGAATTATTTATTGTTCCGACTTTCGTCAAAATATTTGTGCTCGGTTGGGTTTTTCGACTTTTTAACTAGCCATTTTTGACGGGATTTTTTTTTTATTATTCAAAAAGGTAATGTTGTCATGAATTCAAATTTGAAAAACGATATTTCACCTATGATCTTTTTTTGTGAGGTTATTGGAGTTTAAAGATAGATATTTTGGCCATTTTGGGACAATTAACGCGCGATATATATCGCGCCACTAACGCGTAAGCGGATATTTAACCCGTCTTAGAAATCGTTCCAAATTGGTTAAAGGAAGCATTTTTGCCATAATTGATTTGCTACTAGGAGCGAAATCTATCACTCTGAACTAAATGTGGCGTGTGTGGAGATGATTTTTTCAAAAATCTTAAAATATTAAAATAAAAAAATTGTATCTTTTTTTACATTTAATTTTTCATGTAATTTAATTTTTTGTACATTTAATTTTTCATGTTATTTACTGCTCTATAGACCTTAAAAGCCAGTCGGAACATTCAAGGCCTCGCGCTTATATGAGCAGTCTTGTCTAATTTAGTTATCAACTATCGTATTGTCTATCAAATTGTCTATAAAAGTTTTCTCATATAGCCACTATGAAAATTATCAGTGCTTGTATTGAAGAAATTTTTCAATGGTTTACGAATTCCGCCCAGATGCTGTAAAATAAACAACTTATATCAATAACAGGAAACATTAGATAACCAAAAGGTTCAATTAAATAGCAAAAAATCAATTTCAACATTTTTGATTATACAAAACCATCAATCAGGATCATACCGAATGTATATGCATAGTTAAAAAGTACCCGCACTGAAGTTCTATGGATAAAAAAACTCAAATCGGTTAGATTTGAGTTTTGTTGACAGTGTCTTTGAAAAGTTAAAAAAAATCAAATATATACTATTAAAAATGGATTATTTTGCTATTTCTTTATGGAGCATTGAAATCCATTGCAAATGATCATTAATCGAATATATTCACTCTTATAGATAAAAACGAGCAAACTCAATTATAGTAATTTTTCAACTTTATTGAGATGCAAACTTTAACGCACATAAAGTGTTTTCTACGTTTTAAGCTAAAGTGGCTGTACTTTAAGCTGTACTTGTTGTTCGGAAACTTTGGAGGGGAGAAGGGATTATAGTGGGACTGTTTTGCAGGGGATCGCGTGTCGATAAATGCATTTTTGTCCATAATCTTCCAAAACTGTTCTTTCTGATAATCTTCCAATCACTCCCCCTCCCCCACCTAAACTACCCCCAACACTAAACCAAACCCTCCACCCCTCCCCCGTGTTTCAATTGTGGTTCAGGTCAGAGGAGACAGACCATAGCGACAGACCATAGCCATATAACTTTTTAAAGCCCTCTTTCGGGACTCTTATACACATGTATCTTTTAATAATTTTCTCAATCAAATCTCTTTCTTTTTTAGTACATCTTGATCCCATATATCATAAAAACCCTCTCCCCGAACAGGACCACACGATCTCTTTGTTACACATTATGATTGTGAAGATCACCAACAAACAAAACTCATTTCACAAATATGCAATTAATCAGGTCACACAATGTGAATCTGAACCACAATATATTGAATCAACAAGTGTAATCGCCTCACTGTACACCAAAAGCCGAGCCACAACTCTATCAGGTTAGAAATTCACAGGGAGATTTTCTGAAAAGAGAGTACTTTGTTCACAAGTTTCAAATGGAAACAAGAATTAACTCGACCACGAATCGTTTTCTCAAGAAACATGAAAATTACTCTATCTTGACGCAGAGGATTGTAGAATAGCTTCAGTTTGGGGTGGGAATTGGTTCAGGTGAGGGGGGTTAATCAGGTCAATGTGTTGCTCAGGTCAATGTGTAAGTTATTGAAACGAGTTATTGCTAGATTCATGAGGCGTAGCTCGTATCAGTTTTACTTGGTCTGTGTAAAAATTTATTGAAGCTCGAATGAAATGTTGTCCAAAACGGACATTGAAAACTGACATTTTAGAGAGCTTAAATTTGCGCTTAATTTTGTCCACAAACGTAGTTGTTCTGTTGATGTGACTAACCACACAAAATCATTATCTGACATACTAAGTAAGACAATCAAACATAGCCAACAGAGAGTGGGAAAAGAGTCAATGAACGCAAATAAGCATAAAAAAAATTACTGACAATTTTAAACGAAAATCTCAATTTTCGTAGTTTGAAAGACAGATGGCCCGAGATTTTTCTGAAATTCTAGAATAAATTATGATTGAAACTGGATCATTAGGTAAACTTTCTATTTCACTGAAAAAACTCAAAACTTTTAAAACAAGAAGTCGAAACTAGAGTTTCTGACGTTTTTAAGCTCGTTTCAATAGGTTATTACACAAACAAAATGCCGCGCTCCCTCCCTAAAATTTTATGTTAATGGGGCCTTTAGAAAATTTTTTAGGGCTGATCGTTCAAAAATGAATTTTGTGAAACAGTATAAAAAAGGACCCTTTGGAAAACCTTGTCTTATGTGTTTCAAAATTGAGGGAGCTCCCATCGGCATTCTACTGGTCTCAGCTATAAATATTTGCACCACAACTCTAAAAAAATTATTATTGGTTAAAATTTTCAAAACAGCTACATGGTATTGGTAAATCATTTTTTGTTCCCACAAAATCCGACCGGGAAATCGAAATGTACATTTTTTTGACCATATAGAAACAGTTAAAAGACTATCTGATCATTAAACTAACCTGTATTATATCTCACTCTATGTTCCAGCAGTTCACAAAAATCTAACAGTGTACGGTTTACCATGAGCAATAGTTTACAGATTTAATTTATTATACAGCGGCATTTTCTTATTTGTATGTATACAAGTGCTTTCTTTTCAAGTTGCGCTTCGAACCGCAAGAGTTTTGTAATTGTTATAACGAGCTGCGTCTGCTCAGCTCGTCATAATAATTACAAAGATTTTGTGTGCGGTTTGATGTGCAACTTGAAAGAAAATCGAATATGTTCATAAACTTTTTCACATGTTTGTAACTGAAGATCTAACACTATCAAGTGTTTTCGTCGAAGACTCTATTCGCTCTATGAAAACTTTAACTGTATTTTTCCAGTAACAGCAATGCAAAAATTGTATCCACAAATGAAACTGCCGTCAAGCTCTCGTAAGCAGTGATGGAGGTTATGATTTCATCAAGATGACGCAATTGAAAGCTAAGCATGAGCATTTCCTGAACATCTGATCACGAAAAGAAAACTTTCAAATTGATGGATCTCTGTTTTCTGGTAGCCTTTGAGTCATTTGGAATTATTTATTGTTCCGACTTTCGTCAAAATATTTGTGCTCGGTTGGGTTTTTCGACTTTTTAACTAGCCATTTTTGACGGGATTTTTTTTTTATTATTCAAAAAGGTAATGTTGTCATGAATTCAAATTTGAAAAACGATATTTCACCTATGATCTTTTTTTGTGAGGTTATTGGAGTTTAAAGATAGATATTTTGGCCATTTTGGGACAATTAACGCGCGATATATATCGCGCCACTAACGCGTAAGCGGATATTTAACCCGTCTTAGAAATCGTTCCAAATTGGTTAAAGGAAGCATTTTTGCCATAATTGATTTGCTACTAGGAGCGAAATCTATCACTCTGAACTAAATGTGGCGTGTGTGGAGATGATTTTTTCAAAAATCTTAAAATATTAAAATAAAAAAATTGTATCTTTTTTTACATTTAATTTTTCATGTAATTTAATTTTTTGTACATTTAATTTTTCATGTTATTTACTGCTCTATAGACCTTAAAAGCCAGTCGGAACATTCAAGGCCTCGCGCTTATATGAGCAGTCTTGTCTAATTTAGTTATCAACTATCGTATTGTCTATCAAATTGTCTATAAAAGTTTTCTCATATAGCCACTATGAAAATTATCAGTGCTTGTATTGAAGAAATTTTTCAATGGTTTACGAATTCCGCCCAGATGCTGTAAAATAAACAACTTATATCAATAACAGGAAACATTAGATAACCAAAAGGTTCAATTAAATAGCAAAAAATCAATTTCAACATTTTTGATTATACAAAACCATCAATCAGGATCATACCGAATGTATATGCATAGTTAAAAAGTACCCGCACTGAAGTTCTATGGATAAAAAAACTCAAATCGGTTAGATTTGAGTTTTGTTGACAGTGTCTTTGAAAAGTTAAAAAAAATCAAATATATACTATTAAAAATGGATTATTTTGCTATTTCTTTATGGAGCATTGAAATCCATTGCAAATGATCATTAATCGAATATATTCACTCTTATAGATAAAAACGAGCAAACTCAATTATAGTAATTTTTCAACTTTATTGAGATGCAAACTTTAACGCACATAAAGTGTTTTCTACGTTTTAAGCTAAAGTGGCTGTACTTTAAGCTGTACTTGTTGTTCGGAAACTTTGGAGGGGAGAAGGGATTATAGTGGGACTGTTTTGCAGGGGATCGCGTGTCGATAAATGCATTTTTGTCCATAATCTTCCAAAACTGTTCTTTCTGATAATCTTCCAATCACTCCCCCTCCCCCACCTAAACTACCCCCA